AAGAGCGACAATTGATGCAGCTACACAGAGTATGCTCTACTCGCTGCTTCTAATCAGTATCATTGTCAACTAATCATGTGATCGCCTGTGTTCGCGAATCAATATTCAACTGCATACGTGACATGCCTGTTGCGACGTGACAGACCTTAAAATGGTGCGATGGTTGGTGTGCCTGAACGACCCATTGAGCTATGCTTTTCACACCTTCAGAGCCACTTATACCAGATTGGTCAAAGGCCTGATAAACTCAGTCTTCTGTCCCTCCAGGTTGGGAATTGGTGAGGGTGGCTTCTTACTCCATACTACGAACTCATTGTAGCACAGTGCCAAAGCCTTACTACCTTGCGGTCAACTTCTTAAACCAGAGACTTTGTTTGAGAACCCTAATCGTTCTCCTGTTTAGGCCTGGGCAATCTGACAGTATCCTGCCCACGCAATACAATAAACCTCTCCTCAAACAATTCCTTGACACTCTGCTCGTCGCAGAGGATTGTAAATGGCACCCTATTTTCTACATCAAGCAGAGTGGATTAGGGTATCGATGCTACCGCTCAGGCCTTCCCGCACTTTTCCTCTTTATCATCCCGTTCCAACTTTTTTTCTCCCCTCTGTTTTCAACCTCCAACTTATTGGCCCTTCCCCATCTTGTTTTGATAAGCATTTGTCTTACAGTTTCAACTCACACGCCGTCGCAGAGCATCACTCCGGTCTAGTCGATAAGTCTATGTCCAACGAAACGGATAACGTTAGTACTTCTGTTTCTATTTGGAGCCCTCGCTCCTGCTATGCCTCAATGTGCGCACTTTGTTGCAGATTAGCCAACAGGCATCACTTGCTCGAACACTGGACACTATCAATTGATGTCTGCTGCTTATCGGAATCCGCCTACAAGATCCGAGTTACTTGCTTACCCTGCCGTCCCCAACGTGCGACACTGGCGGTATTTTCCCATTGCACTTGTCCGGACATTCAGCTTCAAATACCCGTCAAGCCGGTGTGCACATTGCTCTGAGCTCCCGGGCTGAATCTGCCCTGATCGATTGGATTCCACTGAACAGCCGGATGTGCGCCGTTAGATTGGTTGGCTCGCTCAATGCTTCGAAGTTGTGTGGGGACAAAAGTTCCCTACATACGCTCCCACAAACTGTGGCACTGACTCGGCGAAGGATAACTTCCATCACCAACTGTACGACCTCATTCGTTGTATTGATTGTTGGTGGTCTGAACGCCGAAGTTGGAAAACTGTCCACTGATGGGCTGCATCTGGGCGGTCAACACACTCCCATACTGTTAACAGTGAGCGGTTCCTGCACCTGTGTGAAGCTGTTCGCTTATTTCCTGCGAACACTAATTTCCAACACACATGACGCCCACCTGCTTCAAACCAGTCATGGACGCAGATCGATCAGCTTGAGATTAGTTAACACTGGGTAGGATGCGTCCAAAACTGTCGCCCGATTTGGAGCACATGTTTGGACACTACCCATTCAGTTGTGTGTTGATTTACGGGTGCGTTTTTGCGGACGCCCGCGATGACGCTATGAGCTCCTAGACACCCGCCAAATGTTCTGAATGCATATGAAAGTACGCTGGCATTCGCGTTGAGCAATTATTCGCTGCATTCAGTTCATGGCCACCGGTCACACGTTCACCAGACGTTACTAGCAGCAGGCGGATCTTCAGGTGCCAAACCAAATTGCCAACCTAGACACTGGGTCTCTACGTAGTACCTGGAACTTATCGACGCTCGCCTACACATTTCGGCTGGAAGCGAACAAAATGAGACCCGCTAAGACCTCGGGGAAAAACTGTGTGTTTGCTTGAAGAAAGAGGCTGCGAATTCTGGTGGTCTCATCTTGCGTCGGAGATGAAAGTGGTCGCTGTCCTTGGTAACCATCGTAGGTTATTCCGTCGGCTACGGGTAGTGGGTAACAGGAAACATGAGGTTAATGAAACTGTTTGGCGAGAGTGGACAGTCAATCCACAACTTCTCGAAACGTTTGGAGTTTTGGGCTGAGCACTTTGAAAGACAGTTTACTCGGCCGGAATTGTCAGTTTTCTTGCCGGTCAGTGATCGCCCTGCTCTCTGGACTGTCCCTTTTCATCCACCCTCTCGCTCAGAAGTTGCAGATGAGGTTGCTTGAGGTTGACTAAGGCCGCAGGACCAGGTCATCTCTCCAGTCCTCTTCAAATTCGAAAGACCTGCTCGTGTGGATGATTTGCACGAGTTACTAGTGAAACTGGCAGTAGAAAACTGTCCCAACCGACTGTTATTGTCCCGATCTTTAAGAGAGGCTCACTTTCAGTATGCGGCCATCATAGAGGAATCAGTCTGATTTTGATCGCCTCCAAGTTACTTGCCTCAATCATCTTTCACAGTTTGATTGCTCTCGTGAAAGCTGGATTCGTGAGAAGCAGGCCGGGTTTCCTCCAGGTCGGGGCTGTATCGATCACACCTTCACTTTATGTCAATTGTTGCAGCACCGTCACTTATATTGGAGGCCCACTGTTTTCATGTTCCTTAACATCAAATGTGCCTTCGATTCAGTGGATCGACGTACCCTTTAGGACTGTCTGCTAACGAAAGTTGTGCCCGAGAAATTTGTAAATATTATACGAGCGCTATGTGCGCGTAGCTCGGGTAGAGTGAGGGGTTACGGCAAGCTGTCGCCTCCCTTCAATATCTCCAGCCATGTAAGACCAGGATGTCCGCTGTCACCTTTCTTCTTTAACCGCTATTGCCGAAGTCATGATGATTGTGTTCACAGGACACGACTTAGGAGGCGTGGAGCTGCTCCCATGTGAGCGACTTCTTGACTTTGAGTATGCTGGCGATATTGCTTTGGTCTGTGACAGCTCACAAATGTGCCAAACTGCACTAGACAGATAAGCACTGACTGTCAGCTATTTCTGACTTTGTTTTGCTTTCTCGAAGTGCAATGTTTTCCCTCAAGTTTGGCAAATACTGCTTCCTGCATTGAATCTTGGTGAGAATCAGCTAGAAGTCGTTCAGAAATTCAACTACCTAAGCAGGTGTATCTGCGCTGGTGAAATCAAAGACGAGGTCACGAACCGTACAGCAAAATCACGAGGCGTTCTTGCTAACCTTCGCCACCTATGGCGCCGGCGCGTCATCACTCACTGAAGGGTTAACGTACGTTCGACCCACCTATATGGTTGGGGAAATTGACCCATTAGATCCGCAGACATAAAAGAAGGCTAGTTATGTTCGATCACCGGTGTCTTCGCGGTTTGGTTCATCTGGTGAAAACACAGTGTGAGTAATGAGCGTGTTCGGCGCCTTTTTTATGGCACAGGAAGAGGAAGTGAACCGCTCTGCACCGTTACTTTATGAACCGGTCTCCGATGGATGAGCCATGTGTTGCGCATACCGGCACACCGACTCCCGCGATTTGTGTTCTTTGCGCGTCGCGGGTGCGAATCAATGAAGAGGAAGGGAGACCAACTGACGACCTGGTCAATAGGAATGAAGGCCCTTAATTCGAACTTGACCTCAATTGGAGCCTCACGACTCCCCGGTTGGCGCCCGAAAAACGATGAGCACGTTTGGTTGGATACACTCGTTGACGTGGCTAGTAGCCGACTTCAGTGGCGTTCGTGTTGTGCATTTCTTTGTCCCTCCCGCTTGGCCACGATATCTTTCCTGAGGCATAATATAGCTTTTTGGGGCACAATAGCCTGGTGTTATCTCTCCGGAACGATGTCCATCCGTTACTGGTGGCTCAGCTAGTTGGTGCATCCCGACTGCCGGGATGGCGTGTCATGGGCCATGAGCTCGTTTAGTTGGATACACTTGCTGCTTTGGCGAAGAGCCGGTCCCAGTGGCGTTTTGTTGTGAGTTTCTTTGTCCATCCCCCTCCCCTTTAGATTTCCTTCCAATCATGATCTCATTCAAAAGGCATAATATGAGATCTCAAATTATTTTACTTGCTTATTAAAATTTTTGTACTCTGTAATTTTTGTATTGTATTGCGGCACACTAGCTGAGATGTGTTTCTTATTCTCAGCTGTGTCTGTTGATGATGGTGACTCAACTGGCGCGCCTGTTTTGCGTCTCTTTATTATTATTTTTTTCTTGTGTATTCTGGCACGATGCCCAAGGTGTCCCCTCCCCTAGCTAACGCGGATAATGATGGTGATGCTGATTACTTACACCACAACCCTGTACTTAAAGTTGCCCACCTGTACAACTATGGTTCCGTCATAAAAATGGGAGTAGATTTGATGAGTTCGAGGTAGGAACATCACGACTCCTGTGCTTTCTTCAGTAGCGGTCACGCGCTCGGACATCACGGCGGAACAAGGCAACACTTTCGATTAACTTCCTTGTGTTTATCTTACATTCGCTCTTCTGATTGACTGATTCATCGGGGTTTGATCTAGCAAAGGAAGACATGGTGTTCACTGGATTTCGACCCTTCCTGTCGTCGCAAGTGTTGGACATCCCGGTGTGACAGAGGCCGCATTCAATCTACTAGTTTAGGTACCCAATTTTCAGTGTGACCCACCGCGATGCACGAAAGTGTTGGCTCATTTGATTCATTGTATTTGCGATGTCACGTTTAACGTCGCATCGCGGATGATGGCTGGCCTACCTCTTCGGGACCATTCAAAACCTGTTTGAAGGCGCTCGCTTAATTGACTGATAAGTTATCCCATTTTGAACTTGCTGAAAATCCCTATAGCTCGTGGTGTAATGCAGTGATTCGAATTTGCAGGTATCATTCCGTTAAGTAGTTCCCCGAGGAACATAACGCATGCACCCGCAAATCATGCATTTGCATCCGGATTAACCTCCAGCACAGAGATGTGGGGACACGTTTGCATATAGGCATGTATTTCTTCATTCTTGTGGATTTGACGTGAATGCAATCAGTGTTACTTGGGATCACAAATAAGAGACACTCGCCACATTAGCTACTTATGTCGTTTCTCGTTCAGCAGGCCAAATGCAGTGGACAGATGCAGGCTAGCACGGATCAGTGGGAACGATTATCCATTTCCATTGCTTTGAATTTAAATGTTTTATGAGGTGTACTGGGCTGCGTGGAGCTTGCATCTCCTGTTGATTGAGTGGTTACATTTGGAGCGTCAGTTTGAGCGACATATTCCTCATCCAAAATGGCTAGGCATCGGCGTAAAAATGCCAAATTAATAGGCAGATTGGTTCCCTTTACACCCTGCCGCAGTAATACTCGCGTCGCTTGTCTGGCTAATTGCTCCATCTCCAGCTTATTCGGATAGTCACCCAATTTGAAGCGATCCACGTCGAATGTTGGATCATTAAAGAGAACGTTCGCAAGTGCTCCCGGGTGCACGAGTACACGATCTGGCGATAGATTCACTCCTATATCTTCCATGGGATCCAGTTCGGGAAGCGATTGACTTCCACTGATCCATACTTGTTTGATTACCACAATGATGCAAACGAAAAATAAAACAAGCTGTACTGAACAAATAATGCACACTTGCAGTGTGTCCATCATCGATTGCCCATGGTAATTTGAAAATAGGCATGTGAACTAAGCATAGCTGCTCCACCGGTCGTATGAAGAACATCAGCAGTGCACCGGCACCTCTTATCGATGCTCCACCGCCAGGCGATCGTAGCCACTTGCGCACAAGCTATTGATGTGATGTCAGTCTCATCTACGCAGTTTCGAAACGACAACCTCTGGAGTACAACACAGGCGTCTTATCCCACTCGGCCACTAGATTGTAGTGACCTGGAAATTCCCCGTTTGACTGTAAATTATACTAATATATTTTAAAAAGATGGTTTGCATATATATTAAGGAAATAAGCGGTTTGCTTGTTTGAATGTTGGTCCCGTTTGTTTGAGTCACACACGCAACACGCGAGCGACCAATCTGACGCGACCTTCTGGCAGGCGCTCGTTCTCGCACTTGACACACGTCCATATTCTCCCCAGCTAGCTCTCCTCCGGTGCCCTATTCTTTAGCTTTAGCCATCGTCCAATAAAATTTTTCTATCTCATTTTTGTATGTTCTCCCGCGCGCTCTCGGTTGGTCGTTTAGCGGAGTGGCAAATAATAAATTTCAGAAGTATCAGTGCAAAGATGTTTATTTAGTGCTGACATCTCAAAACAGAAGTTGACCAGGGCGCGTTCAGTCCCAATGTGTGTCCATCATACACACATTTTCCCCCATTTAAGGTCAGCGTTTGCGAGCCAGTTATGCTCCGACTGAGTCCGAATTCACGTTGAGCATCATGCAGAAAACATAATTCTCGCTAACTGCGGAAGCAGCGCTCTAGCTTTTAAGGGAGGTCCTCAAAGCTAGCTCTCTCTAAAGCAGCCCTGATAAGATTGGTCGCACGCCGCCTGAGGCCGATTGTCTAGTCAATGAGCGTAAGCCAATAGCATCGTTTTACCTTGAAGTGGACCATTGAGGACCACCTTCGATGTATCCCACCAGTAAGCACACTACTTGAACAGCAAACAAGCGAGTTTTTGCGCATCTAGTAGTTGCTAGAATTCCGGAAGTTTCAGTTAGATCATTCTCTCATGAACTATTTATTTTGGCCCCATATTTTAGCTGTATATACTCCATAGGAGTTCTGCCAGAGACCTTTGTCTTCTGATTTTTGGAAGTGGCTGGGTCGTTACCCGAGTAACTGTATCGTTTGTCCGTACAGTCAGCGGAAACTCAACACTAGCTATAACCTCTGGACACTGCTTTCTCTCCCCCATGCGCTCACAGCATTATGCACTGGAAAGTTGACAGCTCGCGTAGTGATATTGTGTGGCTCCAAATGCAGAATACAAAAGACTTCGAGCACGAGAGTTGAAATTTCATTGACATGCTCCCTGACAGTCATCATGGGCCTCAGGTTAACCGTATCGCAGAAGAAACACGCATTTTTCTAATTAAACACCGTGGGCTTGGCCGTTGAGATAACCGCCGAGCTCGAGAACCTAAAAGAAGAAACAACCCTCAACTGATTTCGCTCAGCTGCAAATTACAAAGCAGGACAATCGGTGTCGTGATCACGAAGCTGCTAAATGCTGTGACGAACCACAAAAGAAAAGTCGAAAATGCACTACCGGAGACACTGGTTTTAATGTAACTCACAAAACAATGGAGACAATGGGTTAACTGGGTTAAAGAATGCCTATGCTTGACATTCCCCTTAGGATGGATAGTTCAGGAAACAAGTTGGTGTTGGTGGGTAAAACGTAGTACCGCTAACCATGTAACGCACGCTTCCGAGGCACGTATTCCCATCAAGCAGATGTCTGAACAGCATTTGAGAGAGGTACAAGATTCACGGAAACTCGCGTTGCGAGATCGGGGGCGTGTGTCAGATGACTGGCTGGCGATGGTAACCAATCCGTGCGCAGCTGAAGTAAACGGATCAAAGTCATTCGCGTACGTGGTATCCCCCATCTCTTGAAATGTTAATACTCCTGGCACAAAACGGTCAAAGGGTTTGTGCGTACGCTGAGATCTACGAAGCGATGGTTCATTTGACGATTGTCATCATCATTCATCATTATACTCGTTAGCTAGGGGGGTAAAACACCTCAACTACTGTGTCGTAATACATAACAGAAAATAAATACAGCAGTTGCATGCCAGCTAAGCTACCATCAACGGATGGGCATCGTTCCGGAAAACTACCAGCCGACTATTAGGCAACAAGAAAAATTATTATGTAAAATTAAATTATGCTACGAAATGAGATCGTGGTTGGAGGGGTAGACTAAAAGGGATGAGGAGGGACAAAGAAATTCACAGCAGAAACGCCACTGAGGTCGGCTCCTAGTCATGTCAGCAAGTGTATCTAGCCAAACGTGTTCATCGCCTGTTGGTCCCCAACCAGGGAGCCGTGAAGCTCCAACCGAGGCCAGCTCCGTAGTGAGGGCCTTCATTCCTCTGGACCGTCATCGCTTGGCCACCCCTCCTCTTCTTCCATCCACACACCCGGCGCACATACAACGCACGTCGCGGAAGTCGATGGGCTGGCATGCGCAACACGTGGCCGATCCATCGGAGCCTGGTGCATGAAATGACGGTGTTGAACGGCTCAGTTCCTTTTCCTGTGCCATAAACAAGGCGTCGAACGCGCTAGTTGCTCACGCGGTGTTCCCACCAGAAGTAAGCCAATCTGCGAAGGCATCGGTGGTCGAACGCAACTAGCCTCTTTATGTCTGCTGATCTAAGGGGTAAGGTTTCGCAACCGTACAGTAATGTCGAAGTTACCGCTACATTGTACACTCTACCCTTCAGGGCTAGAGTGATGTCGCGCCGGCCCCATAGGTGGTGAAGACTAGCAAAAGCACTTCGAGCTTTTGCTATACGGTTCGTGATCTCGTCTTCGATCCCAAGGGCGTTGATACGACTTCCCAGGTAGTTGAATTTTTTGTACCACTTCTAGCTGATCCCCACCAAGGGTCAGCGCAAGAGGCGATCCCTGCCAACCTTGGAGGAAAGCTTTGCACTTGATGGTGCAAAACAAAGCCCGAAGCGGCTGATAGCCAGTGTTAATCTGTCCAGTGCAGTTTGGCACGTCTTGGAGCTGTCACAGATGAGGGTAATGTCGTCTGCATACTCCAAGTCAAGAAGTCGTTCTCCTGGGAGTATCTCCACACATAAGTCGTGTCCTGTAAATGCAATCTTCATGGCTTCGTCAATATCGAAATTGAATAGGAAAGGTGGTAAAGGGCATCCTTGTCTCACACTGCTGGAGATATTGAAGGGCGGCGACAGCTTGCCGTGCTACGCGCGTATAATGGTCGGATAATATTTATATATTTCTCGGGCACACGTTTCCTGAGTGGACAGTTCCAAAAATCACTTCGATCAACCGAATCGAGGCACCTTTTATGTCGAGAAACACGACTACGGTGGGCTGCCAATATATGTGACGGTGTTCCAACAATTGACGCAAAGTGAAGATGTGGTCGATGCAACCACGACCTTGACGAAACCCGGCTTGCTCCTCACGAATCTGGCTTTTACGAGCGCCAGTCATTCGGTGAAGGATTACAGAGGCGAGTAATTTGAAGGTGATGGAGATGAGACTGATTCCTCTATGGTTGCCTGATTCCGAACGCGAGCCTCCTTTGAAGATGGGAACAATAACGGAGCGACTGCAGTCGGTAGCGACAGTATCCTGCTCCCACCACTTCAATAGTAATTCACGCTAATCATCAACAAGAGCAGGACCCCTGAGTTTGAAGTGGGCTGGATGAAGATCATCTGGTCCCGCGACTTTGTTCAACTTCAACGGTCCGATCTCATGTTTGACTTCTGAGTGAAGGCAGAACCAAATGGCAGGGCGATTACTAGCCGGTGCGGAGTCGAACAATTCCGGTCGATTAAATTGCTTTTCAAAATACTCATCCCAACGGTCCAAACGTTTTGACAAATTGTGGATAGTCTGTCCACTCTCGTCAGAGATTGTTTCACTAACACCAGGTCTTCTGCTGCGCGTTTTCTGTATGTGACGGAATAACCAAGGGCAACGGCTGCTTCCATCTCTGACACACGAAGACACCGTCAGGATTCGCGGTCTCTCTTCAGGCTAGCACGGAGCTTTGCCCGGAATTCTTTGCGAGTTTCACTGTGCTTGCTTCCAGCCGGAATATGCCGACGAGCATCGATAAGTTCCAGAGACCGCGATTGTACAGAATTCTGATGGGTTGCTTCCGTTTCTGGCTGAACCGAAGCTGATTTACCTAGATGTTCATCTGCTGTTGTCCCAACACGACGTGAGCGTACGTGGTTTGGGTGTCGTCGTACTATCCGACCATTTAGTTCGAGATCTGCTTGGGCACAATCACCTATAATTACGGTTGCCGGTTGCCAGCAGCGCTCATGAGAAAGTCGTGTGTTTACGGAATCACCCGGCTGCCAACTAGAGTCGTGGTCATCTTGCGATGCGGCAGCTTTGTCTTGTTTCCTATCCGTTTGTGCTCTATGATTTGGAGAAAGAAGATCCAGTCTGGTACGAAGTGTTCGGTCAAACATCATCTCCACGGGTGATTTACCGGTGGCTTCCGTTGGCGTTAACCTGTAAGCAAACAGCAAGCAATCTAACCACGTCTGGACAGTTCCTTGTGCTTGTTTCGAGAGACCTCTTAATTGTCCGCACCGCCCTTTCCGCTAGCCCATTAGAAGCAGTATGATATGGAGCTGTATGGACGTGCTGGACACCATTTCTATTCATAAAGATTTCAAATTCTTTGCCAGTGAAACCTAGCCCATTGTCTGCGCAAAGTCTCTCTGATATCCTAAATATGGCAAATGGTGACTGCATTTTTGATATAGATGTCTCTGTAGTAGAATGGGGAACAGGATGAACACATATCCATTTAGAATGAGAGTCAATTAGCAGCAGGAAAAATACACCATTACTGGGTCCAAAGTAGTTCACATGGATGCATTGCCATGGCTTTATAGGCCAACGCCAATGGTGTACCGGACCGGGAGGTTTATTTGACTGATACAGCTGGCACAAACCACTTGTTTTTACATACTTCTCTATTTCTGAGTCTAGGGCAGGCCACCATCAATAACCGCGCGCCAAGGCTTTCATTCGGGCTACGCCTGGATGTGCGTTACGGAGTTCGTTTAGGATGAACGACCGTGCCTTTAGCGGTGGAATCAGGCGGGATCCCCAAAACAAGCATCCATAGTGAAGTCTCAGTTCACTTTTCCGTTGTCCGCAAGGCTTGAGATCGACGGGAATTGTAGTAGGCCAGCCGGTTTTTTGTATATCGTACTGTAGAAGATAGTGCTAGGTCACGATCGGTCCACTGACGTATGGTGTCACCTGTCAATGGAGTGATGTCGAAGTGTAGCGTTAAATGTACTAGCTCTGTTGTTTACTTCAGTATTTCTCCTTGGGTCGCATGTGGTAACCTTAATGCATCCGCTGTATGATTGTTCAACACAAGAATATAGGAGATACTATATTTATATGCACTTAATATTATTAATGCCCAACGTGGCATTCTCGGTGAAAACATCTGCTCGATTCCCTTTGACTCGCTCAGCAAAGGATAACAGTGGTTTGTGGTCGGTTTGTACTTCGAGATAGTTGCCCCAAACCCACGGATGTAACCTCGACGTCAAATATAACTGACAGGGCTTCTTTTTCCAACTGGAAGTAATTATTTTCGGCGGGTTGTAAAGTTCGTGAAGCAAACGCAATCGGGTGAATGACACCACTCGATATATTGTGGCACCGAACTGCTCCGACTCTGTATAGACAGGCGTCACATTGTAAGATTAACGGTTTTTCACTATCGTAATAGACCAAAACAGGTGCGGAAGCAAGACACTTCTTTGCACAAGTAAAAGCAGATTGATGCTCACTTTTCTACATCAACGGGATGTTTTTGTGCAGCAGTTCGTTCACTAGAGCAAGAATGGTCGGGGCAAATGGTAGGAAACGACGATAGTGGGACAACACTCCTAGGAATGGTCGTGGTTCATCACTATTTTTGGGCTGAGGTGCCTGCACAATAGGCCCTATTTTATCTTGCAGGACATTCAAACTGATTTTGTCCACTTTGTAACCAAGGGAACAAACAGAATCAGATATGAACTCACATTTGGATTTTTTTAAATTTCAACCCACACTCTTCCAGACGCTCGAGAACAGTTCGCAATGTGTTTAGATGATCAGCGTCACTGCGGCCAGTATCAAGCATACTGCGCTCTCTGTGAAACTCCGCCGTGGAATGGATGAAGACAAACCCATGGGCGATGCAAGTTCATCCGGTGAAAGGCGGTCAGAGGTAGATGGGAAGCGTGGTTTCAAGCCCTTTTGTAAAGTGGCAGCTGCGCGGCGCATCGCCACCAAACGAAGAGTAGCAATCCTGCTGACAGGCCATTGGTGATCGGCTTGTCTGCGGAAATTATCCTCAGAGTCTTCTGAGGTTGCCCGAAGATCCGAACCGGCTGCACTAACCGTCTCTTGTTCGGCACCTGAGGGCACTTCTGAAGCATCGATTAAGCCTCGGACCAAATAGTTTGTATAGGCGTTCACATAACGAACATTAAGCTTCGCCTCACCAGCGAGCGCTTCAAAGGTGGTGTGCATGGTAGCGTTAAAATACGATCGGAGAGGAGGACGAATCTCACCAGCAGCATATCGCCACCATTTCTGTGTGTTGCGGTAGACGGGAACATTCGGACGACGGCTAAACTGTTCTTTTAGATTTTGTTCGTGAGCCATTAACTCGGCCAGGCGAACAGTGGCTATGCAAAGATCGCGAGAGAGCTGTAGCTGTAAGTCACCGAAGCATGCATCGAATTCGATTTGGACGCTGTGCTGCCGTGTCCTCTCATCCACAATAGAAATATCGCAGTTTGTTGGATGTCGGTTACGTCTGAGTTGCCCTGTCAGTGAACTAGGAGGAAGCACGTAGAGAGCAGGTGCTGCGAAATCGGACGACTTGCCCTGAGTAAGTTCGGTTGCCAAGGTTGGCGAGAGCATTTCGCTCCATGAGACACATAGACTGTCCATCATGATCAGCTTCGACTCCAAATCAGCCTTAGACTCATCCGGAGTTCGGATGACCAGATGTTGTAAGGAGAGCGTAAATGTACCGAAAGAAGAAGTCAGCGGATCTATATTCAGCCATGATTCCGATGGCACAATATCTGTACCACAGATTGTGTATAATATATATATATATATATATATATATATATATATATATATCAAGGATACCGTCCAAGTGTGCACAGGTGAGCGGTATATCTTTAACTATATTATCCACATCCGTCGAAAAATGTTGGGTGCTGAATTTATTCCAAACGGGAGGCGCGTGTACTGGAATAGTCTCAGGTGGGTAGTTATTGTGGTCAGTTCCTGTGATTCGTCATCAAGTTCGACCTGAGAGTATGCGTGACTGAGATCCAGCTTGGAAAACTTTTGGCCGCCGGCTAAAGTCGCGTACAAGTCTTCAATACGTGGTAGGGGATATTTTTCCACTTTCGATGCTTGGTTGACTGTCAATTTGTAGTCTCCGCAAATACGGACGGAGCCGTCAGATTTGAGTACAGGTACGACCGTAGTGCCCCAATCTGAATGTTGCACCGGAACTGAATCCTGATTGCAGACGTTGTATCTCTGCCCCAACTTTAGGGCGCATTGCATAAGGTAATGATCTAGCTTTGTAAAATTTTGGCTCGGCACTCTCTCGGAGTTTGATAGAAGCCTTGAAGTGACGTATTTTTCCCAATTTGTTTTCAAACAACGATGAGAACTGGTTCAATAATCCATCCAAACTGGCGTCCTCAACAGTGGGTTGGTTGAGTTGCGTGGTCTCGGGAAAGAACTCTATCCAGTCTCGACCCATGAGATTCGGTTTGTTCCCAGGTACAACGATTAAGGCTAAGGTGAATTCTCGCTCCCCGTGCGGCTTTAACGAAACATCTGCCCAACATCTGAATTGCATCACCTGTGTACGTATGTACTCTCAAGTTGCACGGTTTTAAAGGTAGTAGCTTTTTCATTGAACCGCGGTTTACAATGGTGACCGCTGCCCCAGTATCTAGCTCCATGTCTATCGGTTCATTATCTATCGTCAAACGTATTGTGTAAGGAGGACAGTTTTTGAGTGTCATACTGTTCAAGTACACGGAGTTAAGTTCACTGTGCAAATTTTCTAGGACATTATCTTCACATAGCTCTATCTTGCTTTGACGATTCGATGAGTCGATGTTCGTGGGGCGGGAGCTTTCCACTCTACAGACGCGTGCTAGATGGCCAAGGTTGCCGCATTTCCGATAGACACTTTCTTTGTGCCGGCAATCGGAAGCGTGAGAGTTCCGCAAACCGCAACGGCAACACACAACTTGTTTTCAATGTTCACTGGGGTCTGGTTTGCGGACCGCATGCATGTCATCAACTACCAGACGACCAATGAACTCGTGTAATTGGTGTGTAACATTCACTCGCTGGCGAACAATGAGACAAACGTTTTCACACGTGGCGGCCGACTCATCCAAGGATAACAACTTCTCTCTGACACTTTCGTCCGATATTCCCGCAATCAAACATTGCATTTTCATTTGCTCTACAATTTCCCCATGTGGAATATCATTATACTTACATTCAGGAATAGATTGATGAATTTGTGCAATATAACCATTGACACTTTCTTTCGGCTTCTGGACTAGTTTTGAAAAGCGGTATCTAGCGATGTAAACACTTTGTTTCAGCCCCCATAACGTGGTATAAGTATCCAAAGCGGAACTGAGGGTAGCATCATTTTCCATTTGTAGGGCACCGTAGTGCCGTTGACCTACATCGCCAAGCGCTTGCCTGAATTGTGTGGTTTTGTGAGCCTCAGAAAGACACACGGTCGGATTCAGTAAAGGAAGTAATTCCACGTAGTTAGTAAATGATTTCCTCTATCTTATCCAGTTCGATAAGGTCGGTTTTTCCTCAGCAGATGACCAAAAGATAGGAGATGTATTCAATATTGGGTTCGTCATTTTCCTCGCCACTAAAACCTAGTACCGCTAAGCATGTAACGCACCCTTCCGAGACACGTAATCTCAGCAAGCAGAGGACGTCTGAATAGCAGGAGGTTTGACAATCATTTGAGGAAGGTACAATACTCACGGAAACTCGCGTTGCGAGATCAGTGGCGTGTGCCAGATGATTGGCTGGCTGGTATGAGAGGTAACCAATCCGCGCACAACTGAGGTAAGCGGATCGAAGTCATTCTCGTACGTGACATTGGGCTCATCAGAAACTGCGTACCTTGATTGATTGTGTTACATTAACGTGCATTCATAAATAGCTACATCTCGCAATGTATTACCGTATCATCGAGACGTTCTTTTAATTGCTACTTGTGGGATGAGAAGAAGGAACAACATAAGTGGGAGGGGCGTTCCATGGTTGGTCGGCACACACGAAATGAACGGGAAATCCAGCGGCATTCCAACCGTGTATACTATGTGGCCAGCTCTAGCTGTTGACTTCAGTGGTATTGTGGTCCACTTTCAGAGGATAACGACAAGCATGGTTTGGATTCCTCTGGATCTGATATGTCATTGGCAAATCGTCACGCAGACATCGATATTGTCCACTGTATACTCCAGGGATTTCCAGCCTCAGTTGGTAAAGGAGATAAAACGAATGGTCTACATTCGTGATCACCCTTCGTTGTGGCACTTCACGTGTGCCAATATCGTGCTTGTGCCAAAGCTTCCATGCATAAATGGCGTTGAACATCCTAGGGAAAATGGAAGGGTTAAATCGTCTCGATGCCCTCTGCAATGGGACAATGTGTTGCTTAGCTTTTCGGGTTGTTTCTCGGTCTGACGTAAACAGCCAACATCATCTTGTGCCATTGCTTGTAGGTCGCATTCAATAGAAGTATGCCACAAAACCTGATCCCCCGGCCGCCAACCATGGTTGGTTGGTGGCATCCGGTTTCGGATTTGCCTGTCACTGACCAGCCACAGGACGCCTGGCCTACAGAGGGACCATGGGTGGCTTACGCTGCACCACCCACAGCTCCAACCACACACCCCATATCCAGTGTAAACCCGAAGGAATAAGACCGGGAGGCATGTGGATGGGAGCCACGTTTCATCAACGGAGCCGGCCCACACTCCTTCACAGGCAAACACAAGCACGCTGTATTTGAGGAATCAAGTGTACACAAGGCGGTGGCTGGACCGTAGTCCGCTCCACACTTATTGCATGGAACCACTCTTTGAGCCTAGCATGGCTACAAGGACAGTGCACCTCGTCCCCTCCAACAACGACCAACTGTCTCCTTGAGCCAGTATGGACGAGGTAGTGGGTAATAGACAGGTAGGCACCTTGTCAACATACACATCAAGCGCATCCACACCAGGGATATCAAACAACAGCCATTCACTTTAAACGAAAAAAATGAAATAAAATATATCCAATAATGCATACGGATACGGTGGCATAACTCTTCGCTAAATTACCATATGAAGTAAGTTGGTTAGCAACGAATCCGTGATAAGAAAGAAATGTCCACAAGTTACTTAAAACTGTTACAAACGCAACTGAAGTACCGAAGATAAGCGCAATTAGCGTAAGCAACGTGGCCAGTTAATAGAACATTATTCAGGTAGGCAGAAAAAAGCAAATAAAGTGGAATGAAATTTATCCAGCTTAAAAAGACCTAGCTTAAGTGTAAGTTGGTTTAGCCCAACTGCGGTGAAGAAGCATCACCGATGCCTTATTTCCGAAGCCGTATTTGGCTACCTTGAGCTGGTGCGTACGCACCATCCGGTCGGCGTCACAAATTCCGACACCCATGACGTGCACTGATGATCCCTTTACTGAGAGTATATCCCGCTTGATGAATGATGTCGCTGTTGGAATTCTGTGTTCGGGAACCATGTTGACAGTTAGGTTGCGGAGTTTTTCGGCGAATTACTCAAAGATGACATTGTAGCGTTTACATCGTACGTCATGGTTGATGCCACTTGATCGTACGACATGAGACGGAGGCTTACCGGGGTCACCACTTATCGTATTTTGGTAACACCTTTTTGGTTGCGGAGTTCCTGGTTTAATAACCCGTCATTCTTGGATGCCAAAAGAGATTGAATACGTGTATTCTCATAAATGTATTTTTGGAGCTCCCAGATGTTGTACACGAGGTAGTCTAGAGTCAGCCGGCTATTCAGAAAGGAAGTTGATCGATGTATAAAGCGTTTGAAAGAATAGTCGATACAGCTGGTAATATTATCAGCTGATCTGAAGGTTATGTAATAAAGTGTGAAAGAAACACTACATACCTCCCCACCAGTGCGCTAGTCGCACAATGTTCAAGCGACCAGAAGTTAAAAAAACCCGGTGGGAATAACCGATAAAAACTGACCTCTACCTGATACAGTGTCGCATGAAATACCCGAGGCTGAGGTATGGGAGGCATGCAGGCTAATATTCTGTGTGTAAGGTACAATGAAAGATGTGGGAGCAGTGCAGGATGGTAAATGCACGGATGTTAGATTTGTCTAGACTGAATAATCCGCTTCTTCCTCGTGCGAGATGTTCAGTTGCGTTCTGGCGGAATCTGGAGAAAAACAAACAGGAGGAGACTGGCAGCAAGCGGTAGTAGCAAGTGATCAGCAGCACAAGATGATATTGTCAAGATGTGTGATACACTAAGCGGTCTGGAAAATGGACTCGCCTTCCTGACCGTGTCTGCCGCGTATTAAAATCTCCTTGTGGCTTAGCTTTAGATGTTACAAGCTGCGGGTCATCTTCAACGAGCTGTGGTGTCTGCTGCGTACACGGTGTCGAGTAAGAATCAGTAGATTGTTGCTTACAAGGTTTTTCAATGTACGCTGGTTTAAGACGATCTACGGAAACCGCATCGACTTTACCATTCTTGTTGATCATATGATGTTTTTCGGTTCTAGCGATCACTTCGAATGGTCCTTCGTACGGTGGTTGTAATGGCTTGCGGACTGCATCATTTTGTT